CTGTACACTAAGAAATGGAAAAGATGTTAAATTTTATATATATATATAACCTCAATAACAAATTATTACAAAATACAGTACATCTTTTGACCCAGTATCCTAGGTGTTTGCCTGATTTGATTTTTTTTCTTAAGAAACAACTCCCATTTACTGAGCACCAACTAGTACTCATCTATGACCCTCATCACCCCTACTTTACAGATGAGAAACTGAGGGTAATAAGGATTTAAGCAACTTGCTCAAGTCCCCATGGCAGGTTAGGAAGAGCTGGGATTGGAAGCTGGCCATCGGGTTTCAGAGTATGTGCACTTAATCACTCTTCTATTTTGCCTCTGGACACCACCAAAAAGGGCAATTGTGATTAATTCTTGCAACAGCCCCATATGCCAGATGTCTTCTCGTTTCCACCTGATACAATTGAGACTCCAGAAAGTAAAATAACTTGACCAATTTTAACCTTTTATTCTTTTTAACTGAATGAAATCCAGAAAAAACAGATGTGCCCCTTTATGCTCAGAGTTTCTTCTCCAGCACTGGGGCATTCATGGCAAACTGGGCTTATGACCAAGTGCAAGTCTGCAGCTTAGAAAGAAGCAAGAAATGAATTTATTTTTCATCAGATCTTAAAGGGGCAAATGGTGAATTATTGCCAATGCCGATACGAGTTTAGGTAGGAAAAATCAGAGGACTCATCGACCAACAGTGTCCCCTAGGTCTCCGTGACATATGAAGCTGGGGAACTGGGATACAAACTCTGCTCACTCTGGAGGGCCAAGTTCATTTTTTGAATAAAGCCGTGGGCGCTGATTGAATCCATCTGGTTTCAGTTCAGCCTGGCAACCTCAGAAAATGAAGAAGTCAGCTCTCTGCTGAGGTCCAATGTCCGGGCAAGGCCAGTTTATGCTCAGGTAGCCCAAGCACTGCCTATGCCTCGGTTGCCATGTTGAACCCAAGCAGACAGAGCCTGGCACGAGCCCTCAGGGGATAGTGCTTCCCATCGCTCACTGTTCTGAGCTTTTGTCCATGTGTCTGGGTTCAGATGAATGAGATTTACACTGTCTTAATAAATATTGATAACCATTTTAATATTAGTAAACCCTTCACATGAGATATTCAAATGACTTCCCAGTCACCTCAGGCCCCCGGTGAGAATGAAGCCATTTCCTTGCAAAGCTGTGTCAGCCTTTCCAGGCCTTTTTGGCCCCACTGGGCTGGGTCTGTGTGAAAGGAAACATGTTTGGGAAGAAAGCAAACAGGTGCTTAGGATGGGCATGCCATAGTTCACATTCATTGCCCCATTCCCATTTTCAAATATTGTAAATATTGTACTCCAGCCCCTGGTTGCAACTCATTTTACCATCTGTCCTCTATTACTTTTTACATGGAATCTTTTATAGTATTAGTGATAATACTACGAGCTAATATCTAGAGTGCTTACAGTGTATCAAACAATAAGCTGTGTTTTTTCAGTGCATTATGTCATTCATTCCTCCCAACCATACTATTAGATAGACATCTCTCTCATGCCCAACCTACAGATGAGAAAACTGAGTCTCAGGGAGGTTGCTTGTCAAAAGTTATATAACCAGTAAACAACACGACAATATCTAAATTCAAACTGAGGCTTGTTTACATTGAATATTTGGCTGCCAGTGGAATAGCCTTGTCATTACAACCTTTTTGTCAAAACCGTAACGGTCTGGGACAAATAATATTGCACAGTTTGACAAATGTGGAGTGGGACAGTGCAAAGAGAGATTACTTTAAAAAGTCTAGCAAATTAGGAGACCATAAAGTGAATTTTTAAGTCCCTTCCCATCCATAGGATCAGGCTGAATAAGCTTCACATTCATGAACCATTAGAGCTAGCAGGTATCTCAGGAATTATATACTTCAAACTTCTTACTTTACACAAGAGAGGATTGAGAAACACAGAGATGAAGTAATTTGTTTGAGGTTATCATAATCATAAACATTTGGATTATTTACTAAGAGATTTGTTTCTTCTTCTTCTTAACAACACATTTTGGGATATACATGGACCAAATCCTAACACAAAATAAAATATTTTACTCTGGCTCATTTCTTTATGTGTATGTCCCCACTTACTGATGTTCTTTACCTCATCTGTCTTAGCAGATGGAAGTTCTAGAACACTGAAAACAACTAAGCATAAATGAAGTCAGCACAATTAATGATATGGTTTGGCTCCATGTCCCCATCCAAATCTCGTGTTGAGTTGTAATCCGCAGTGTTGGAGGTGGGGACTGGTGGGAGGTGATTGGATCATAGGGGTGATTTTTAATGGCTAAGCACCATCAACCTAGTGCTGTCTAGTGAGAGAATTCTCAGGAGATCTGGTTGTTTAAAAGTGTGTGGCACCTTTCCCTCATTCTCTCTCTTCTTCCCCATTATGTGAAGATGTGCCTGCCTCCCCTTCACCTTCTGCCATGATTATAAATTTCCTGAGGTCTCCCTAGCAATGTTTTCTATGCAGCCTGCAGAACCGTGAGTTAATTAAACCTCTTTCCTTAATAAATTACCTAGTCTCAGGTAATTCCTTATGGCAATGCAAGAATGGACTAATACAATTATTCCCCAGAATTATCAATACTTTCTTATTTCAAAATCCAAAATGTTAATATGCCATTTTGGGGAGGACGGCTCTTGCCTCTAGTTTACACAGATGTCCTGTACCAATGAGTTGCGTGTCTCAGAAAGAATTATTCTATTGCAGTTGGAGTGAGCCGCCTATATGTTTGCACCATTGCTAAGCATCTGGCTGAACAATGGTGTTCTCACTGGCGAGGATTGTGTGTTCTCATCGCTGTCCTCAGTGTCCTAAGACAAGCTCTGGCACAAAGTCTATACTCACTGAATGTTTGTTGACTGAATGATAAAGATGGATGAATCTTAAGGCCTGAAAATCTGTCTCATCAGTGAAGCAATGTAGTGAGAGACTCATTGTTAATTATGTTAATTATGATATGATATATGATATGTTATGCCATATCATTACAGAATAACAGAGTAGAAACATGGAAAGGTAACCCAGGCCCAGGTGGAGTCCTGACCAAATTCTAGATTGATAGTGTTAAAATATGCAAATACCTTTCCAGGATTAGACGACCCCACCCAAAACTATCAACCACAAAACAGCCAGTGGTCACCAAGGTGCCCTACACTGTTATCATCTTGAAGAGAAAGAGTAGTGACATGAGGCAGTGAAGAGGCACTTTAGAAATTCCTTTTAATGGTTATGGAGGTTGATATATTTTTAGGTTAAACCTATGTCTCCCCATGAAACATAGGAATGTTAATGATTATATCTCTGTGAAAGTTCAATTCATAGGTGATGTTTTGGAAATTGATTCATTATTCTTTCTCATTCAACATTCATTGGATATTGTGCCATGCACCAAAGATATAAACATGAAAAAGACATGATCCCCTCCCCTCAAGAAACCTGCAGTCTTGGGAAGAGGGGTAAGAATGCACAAAGTAAACACACAATTACAATAAAGTCGGGTTAAGACAACTGGCTCTAACATCAGACTATCATTACCCAACTCCCACTCTGTATTCACTAGTTGTGTGACATGAGTGAGTTCCTTAACTTCTAAAAGCCTTATGTCATCAAAGGTAAAAGAGGGGTCATAGTACTAATATCTATCATGCAAAGTTCTCAGGTGGGTTACATGAGGTAATATGTATTAATGCTTAGCAGAGCTTGTCATTAGTATACAAAATGTTAGCTATGATAACAGTAGCTGTTACACTTCCATTGTAACTGCATTAATATAAATACAAACAGAGGTAGGGTGCCTGAGAAAAACAGGTTTGGGAGGCAAGTGGAAGAAGACTACCTTTCTCAAGGACCATAAAGATGCATCAGTAGGCAAACTGTGTTGTTGGAGTTGGATGATTGGAGTTGGGATAGGGGATGGCTGTCTCTCCTTTGGGTGTCTAACAGGTCAAGTCCAAAGGGTGGAAGGCATTTACAAACCTCAACTGTTCAAGGCAAGGCTTATAGTCCCAACCAGCTGGACCAGAGAATGTGACGAAGGACAGAAGATGAAGCAGAGGAGGAAATGCAGAAGGTGGATCATAAGAACCTTACTTTATTTCGATAGCTTTGCAGGTCATTGAAGAACTTTAATCAGGGAAGTGATGTAACAGAATTTTGAAAGGGTCACCCCAGCTAGAATGACTCAGAAGAGATGAGACTAGAGGCAGGGATACTAGCTAAGAAGCTGTTGCAGTAATGAAAGAAGAAATGATGAGAACCTAAACTAAGGCAATAGTAGTGGAAGCAAAGAGAAGTGAAGAGATTTCACAGGTTTATAAGAAGAAAGTGGTAGGACTTGCCAATTAATTGGATGTAAAGACCAAAGCAAGGGACAGTCAAGGATGGCTCCTGGATTTCTGGCTTGAGATACTAGGTGGACGACATAGCAGGTAGAGTGAGAAAGATGATGCTTTCAGTTTGGGATATATCAAGTTTGGGGTCCCTTATAGGTCTTTCAGGGAGAAATATCTAGCAGGGATTTGGATAGAAATGTCTGGCACTCAGGAGAAATAGAGGTAATTCAAGTCATGGAGAGGATCCAAGAAATTATTTTATGCATTGAAAATACTTGATATTAAGCCATCTACTAATGCCATTTTTGTTTTTGTTATTAAAGATGAGAACACCAAAGACAGAATATATGGTTCTTCTAAAAGGTCCACTTTCAATTTTACTAAAGTGAATGACCCACTTTGATGAAAAGAATAATGGCTTCTAAGGTCTCTTACAACTCTAATGTTACAATTCTATTGTTCATCTGGAATTGCCTTTTGAGAACAGCACACCTGTGGCCTTAAAGCTTCATGGGTGAACATGTGAAATATTCTTTTTTTAATGTAAGTTCATTATGTGTAAAGCCACACAACCCCAAACATGCAGTGATGATGCTTATAGCAAAGAAAAACCAAGTAAAGACACTATCTACATTTACCTACTCTGATCCCAATTGGCTGCAAACAGCAAAAGAATCTTCCTGCCGTAATGGTCTCGGTTTTCCAGCACCCCAGGGAATCCATCGATCAGAGCCCTCTTAATGCCGGGATCATCTGCCTTGAAGTTTTTGAACATGTCCAGGTTTAGCTGGCGGTACTGGAAATACTGAGCCAGGAGTCTAAAGGCATCCGCTTGGTGAAACTTCCTGGCTCGGAGAAATCTCAGGATGAAGGCATCATCTGTACGTAAAAATCCAATGTCAGGCCTGGTGATGATCATGTCCCTGACTTGCTGAATATCCTGATGTAAAACATCTGGGTTTTCATTCAGTTCCAGGCGAGCTTTCTCTATAGTCTCTGGACTGAGTCCAGCCTGTAAATGGGTCATCTTGGCCAAATCTCCGTTCCAAGTGCTTAACTTCTGATATTTTGGAAGAAGGGAGACTGGTCCCATTCACCTGATGGTCTGCTGAAACTGTGTCCCATTCAACGGTGTTTTACTACCAGACTGCCCCGGAACAGACAAATAGAGGGTCTTCTTTCACATTCAGGCCCTATGTGGTGGTGTTCATCCAAAAGAGAAGCAAAACTGAGGCCATTGCTTACTGCAAAACAAATACACACAAAAGAAACAAAAGAGAGATGATACAAAGAAAGTCTGGGCAAATTAATTGGAACTTAGATAGAAAAATAGTATATTAGGCTGTGGGCCTGATTAGATTAGGTGTCCAAAGAACAAATGATAAATGGGGTATTGAGCATAAGTTGATTATAGACAACTTGAATATCTAATATGCAAATATTTGAAATATGTTTGGGAATATTTTAGTTCCATTGACTAGTTAACTTAATAGTGCTTGATCAGATTAGCAAAAGCATGCACTTTTATTAATTACCTTAAGAAACAGTGAGAGGAGAGAAGGATACTTCTCTGTGACAGCATGCTTTATGGGACCACTCACAGGCCTAGATATGGAAGAGAAATTATAGCTATGGTACAATTTAATGCTTCCCATTGGTCTCTTTTCTCAAGCAGAAGTATCTTTCACAGAAATACCCCTTCCCCCACTTTCTTCAAGCCAGTCATTTGCATCTTAACTATAAAAAACTTCCCCTATTTTAACCCCACCAGTGTTCATGACTCACAGGAGTCCTCCACCAGTATACGTGAAGAGTCGGTATGGGAACGGGCTTATGGCTGGAAACTTGACCTCCAATAACAAATTCAACGATGGGCAAGGAGGCTTACAGGGACATTCGCAAATAGCTTTATTATTTGCATTTGTCATTCTTTTAACTACAAAAGCAGAGGGACTTGAGATTCTTGATTGGCTCTCTACCCAACCCAATATCCATATAGGTTTAAAAATCCTTCCATTGTATATAACCTGCCTGTTTTCCTAAGATGCTGTTTTACTTATGATATTTTAATCCCCTCACATACATCCTTTATGATTTCTCCACCAAAATGGTATACAGAGGAACACCCATACTGTTTGTATCTTATTTTAAATATAAATGCTTAAACTCTTGCAGCCATCTGTTTGGTCTAACCTGGAAGTTCCAAAAATCAGAAGACACACAAAGTATAAATAAACTTAAAGGCATTTATTTTTCCTAGCTTTCTTACGTCAATCTTATCTGCAATAAGAGGCAGAATATTGACTCCCAATCTAATCATTATTGGTAATGGTTTATCATACAAAATTACTTAAATGATGATTGCTCTGCTTAATTTAGGACTAACAGTAATTTCTTAAGAGAGACAATCAGCTCACTTATTTCTACTTTATATGTCTTTGGATATGGAGGAGATAAAAACAGTTTAAGTAACTGGTATTCATTTTCAAGACAATAGAATAATAAAAATAATTTCATTTATAAAATATTGGCTTTGTAAAATAACTTGTAAGAAAATCGAATTTAGCTCTGTGATGTTCTGTAAGAAACAAAAGAGTCTTACTTCTCACTAATTTTGAGGACTCATAACAATAAAGGAAAACGGTACTACAAACTCTTCCCAGAATTTGAAGAAATTTCAAAATCTGTCTAGTTCAATGGCCACCTGACGTTAAAATTCCTTCTCCAACAGCCGTTTCAGAAAATGGCCTCACCTAGTGTCTTCCTTCTCCAGTTCTTCCCTACACTCATTGCAATCTATCTTTTACATGCTGCTGAAACTATTCACACTGATCAATGACACGGATGATGATATAACTTATTATCCAAACTTAGGCACTACAGTGTGTTAATAATAATGATGCTAGAACAACAGGTTCCAAGTAAATTCAGACAGATGGTCACTCTACTAGGGAATGTCATTTTTGTTACTACATCCAACAAACAAACTTCAGCACCTACTGTAGGTGAGCTTTCTCAATATTCAATGCTGAATACATCATCTTTCTTAGACCTCCTTCTCCCACTTTCCCATTCTTTTCTGTAACTCCATTTACCCTTGATTTGTCACCTAGCCCTTTGTCCCTCTCCGCTCTATCTTCTCCTTCTGTGCTCACATCTTCAATGCTAGTGTTTTCCAAGATCCTGACCCCATGATCTGCCATCTACAACATCAGTCCATAGCTCCCTTCAGATCTTCAGGCTGCACATTCTACAACCTACTGAACATCTCCACTTATTTGACTCACAGACAACACAAACTCATTATGTTCAAAACTAAACTAATCATAGTTCCTTATCCTGAATTTGCTCCTCTGCCTTTGTCTCTTAGTGAATGACATCATCTTCTATGCAGTTTCCCATGCTAGAAACCTGGGAGTCAACTATTATTCCACCCTCTCTCTTACCGCCTGCTACCAGGCAATTACTTCCATAATATTTTTCAAATTTGCCCAGTTATTTCCATCCCCATGATCACTGTCTTTGTTTAGACTGCATCACTACTCATCTGTTCAGTCCTGTGACATTCTCCCTATTGGTATGCTTGCTGCCAGTCCATTCTCTGCATTTCAACCCATTCTCTGCATTACAGTTGAAATATGCTTATGTCACTCCTTGATTAACATCCATCATTAGCATCTAGTTGTCCTAAGATAAAGTATAAAACTATGCAACATGATTTCAAGACCTTTCGTCTTCTGGTCTCTTTATAACTCTCCAGATTTATTGTCTGACCATGCAGCCATCGGCAGTTTCTTCTCACCTTTGTGTGCCTTGGTAAAAGCTGCTCTCTCTCTCTGCCTAGAATAACCACTGATTGACTCTTCTTTGCCCTTCAGAAGTAAATTTGAAACTCATTTCTCCAGGAAACCCTTCCTGGCCTTCAGAGGTCACAGTAGTCCCACACCCCTGACCACACCACATTCTGTTGCCATTTTCCTTTCTCTTTCTTTATCCGGAACACCTTACAGAGAAGGCCTGGATTTAATTCATCTGTGTATCACTGATACAGGGTGTGGCCAAAAGAGGGTCAGCTCCACGAGCAGAGTGACTTCATTGCATTCACCACCACATCCTCAGTGCCTAGCACAATGCCTGCCATGAAGTAGATGCTCAGTAAATAGGCCTATAATACATGAATAAAGAAAGTAGTCAAAATGTTTCAATGAGTGAATAAGTGTTTCAGTACCTCCAGGACAGTTTATCCTTAAATAGGATGTTGTGACTGATTGATTAACGTTGATGATTCCTCATCTACAAAGTATTTTTTTCCTGGAGAATTTAGCCTAATCACATTGTGCTTCAGATTCTCACCTCCCTAAAGTATGCCAGGTAATGTTCACAGTTCCAACCCATGGAGCACAGTGCTTAAAGCACAAGGCACAGCAATGACTTATTCCTTACAGAAGATTTAAGGCTTGGGGCAAGTTACTTACCTTACAGTTCAGGGAACTCAACATTGTTTCTGAGATAAATTACTATGGGTTCAAAAGGAAAGTTAAGGTTGCATTTTTCATGGCCTGCTTCCACATATAGCTTTGCCTGCAATCTATAATATCCGAAATAAATTTTCTTCAATCTATATCTTTATTCTGTGCTCAGCATACAGTAGAAGCTTCTAGGGAGAATACTCAAGCCAGGGTCACTGGGTTTCATAACTTATGATAACATAGATATTTCCCGTTAAAGGCAAATTCTTCATATCAGAAGTCTGAATAGACTGCTACTTAAATAACAACTTCAATTGATAGTATTTAAGGCACTAGAAAGGCTATATGAAGAATGTTCACCAGGATATAGCATTTTCATTTGACTATAATCTTTTGTTCACATAAAGGACTTGGTTCTCATTCAACTTTTCCAAATTATAAATGGATACATTGAACTTGTATCACATGAAGAAGTAGAAATGGTTTTCTCTGCTGGTAGTATTAATAATAATTTATGGTATATATTATAGCTATTTATTATGTTCTAGGCATTTGCAGACTCTCTTTTTATAGGCTACAATATTTAATCCTCGGAACAACTGTATGAAATGAGTATATTATTGTCCTCATTTTTCAAATGAGGAAACTAAGGCACAGAAAGGTTAAATGACTGCCCCAAATTATACAGACACTAAGAGGCAGAAACTGGATTCAGCCAAAAGTGATCTTTCTCTGAAACCATGCTTTTTACTGTTATGCTGTCCTCTCTTCTGTGTAGCAGAGAGATTTTATTATTTATGATTTAAGACCTATGTGACCATCTGCAAGTTTCAGAACCTCACTCTGGTTCCCTAAAATTCCTTTCAAACTTACCATTCTATGAGCCTAAATATGCCAATGGATGAATAGATTTCCTTGGGTGGCTTAATACTCCGCCTTACAGATGTCCAGTTGCCATCTTTTCCTCCTTCCTTCATTGGAAGATGACTGGTGCTGTTCAAAATCTAGCTGTCTATGCCTTTTCCAGCAATCACTAATTTTTGCTCTTCCTTTAGGTATTTTCCTTTGGCAAAAATGATAGATCAAAGATAACAGATCTTGTCATTCTGTTTGAAGGATTGATTGCCATGCCCAGCAGAGTGCCAAGCATGGTATCAGCATTGAAATGTGCTTGATGATCAAACAGGCCACTTTAGGCAGATTCATTTAAGCCTCAGAGGCCATCTCCCTGCAATGTGGTTTAGTCCCAAATGATTCTGTATTTAGACACCATTTCAAATGCATGGAGAGTAATTCGCAAACTTTCTCTGGGAAGGCCAAGGTGGGGAATACCTCCTTTCACTCCAGTCCACACTTTTCCAGTGAACTAGAAAATTAGGTAATGATATTTTTGTATGAGAGGGAGAAAAGAGGAGTATCCATACTATGATATTTAAAATAATGTTATCTGTAGATTCTAGTTTTATATTTCATCTCAAGTTTCCATTAGAAACAAATCTTTTTGTACTTCCTCATACAGAATTTAGTCTTAAGAAAGTACATCTACAAACATACACTGTACTCTTTAAAATCAAAGAATTTAAGCATAAAAATACTTTCAGAAAAGCATGATAATTCAAATGAAATCAATTTGGTAATTTTATGATCTATTATTCTCATTTATTTATTTTGTTATAATCTTCAGAAACACATACAATACATCAGGAAAAAGTCAAAATAATATTAGCAATGTCTTATCTAAAAATATGTATATGTATGTGTGTATGTAGTGTTTCGAAGCATTTTATATCAGTTATTTTTTCTTTGTTACAATGATCCTGCAATAGACAGAAGAAAGATAATTCCTTGGGAAGTGCTGAGGTAAAATTCTGTGAAATAATGTTGGTAAAATTTACTTTAACTGTAAATTCTTGTTGATATTACAATTATGCTGTATTCGGGTACATATTCGGGGTACATAACAGCTAAGTCAGATAATGAGCTAGTCTTCAAGTTGGAAAACCAACAAATATTCATAGAGTACTTATTAGGTGCCAAGGTATTTGATATTATATAGTCTAATTTCCACACCAATCCTTAAAGTTAGGTTATTACTATTAGATGAAAAGATGAATCTGAGATTTAGATATGACTGAAAGAACAAAGATTTGCACTCAAACCTACTTTACCCACATTTTGTCCAAGACTCTGCTCTCCAAGTAGGTGCCTTCTTTAACATCACTCTGAGTACCAGTGCCCTCACACTCAACTACACTCACATAATAGACACACATCCATACCCTGTCAGTCCTAAAGGACATCATTTAAGGGATGTTGTAAAATTGCCCAAATTTGGGGAGGAAATAGAATATTGTTGTCACGATCAGAAAAATAAGATCTGTAAAGCCTAAATATTATTTGTAATATAAGAACATCAATAACTGCTGAACAACACCTCAAATTTGCATGGCTTCTGGGTGTTCTTAGTAATACAAAGAACAATTTTAAATACATATAAATTTAAATTAATACAAATATAAAATAAGAAACTACAGCCATATTTGTTTTGTGGGTTTCTTTTACAAGAAAAAGATGAAAAATTAATACTGGTGACAACACTTTGTACATGAAAGTCTAACCAACTACCTCACCCATTGGTATGTATGAATTTATGTTTCCAGATTTTTAATATGTATTGAATTGGGTTAACCCTTATAGCTCTTTACCTTGCTAAAACCTTACTTCAAATTTTTTAATTGAATATGCATTTTTACCTGGAAATATCAAAAGGAATTTTTATGCTGAATGAAATAAAAATAGATGCTGCTGATATATCTAAACCCAAACTGAAAATCATAGTGACTAAAAAATCTTTCTTTTGAAGTGTAACTCTATTTGAAATCTTTCTTGAAAGATAATACACTCCCTTACAGCCTATTTAGCCTATACTTAAATCTCAGAGGCTGGCTGATTACATGTTCCATGGTACTGACCAGAAAGAGTCTTTTTTCTGATGGATGAATTTTCAGATTGGCCATTATGGTTTGTAGGACTTCTGCATAAGTACTGGCTACGGAACATCAGACCTGTGGGTAACAAAGTGACCCCGAATTCATTGACTTTCTTTAAATATTAGCCAACTTACAGATATAAACTATCTGTACTAGGGGCAGGATGAGTAGTCTGCAAGGATAGAGAGGAGACTCTGAATTATCTGAAAGCGTGGTGTGACCAGAATTTAGCGCGTGCTACACAGAACACTTTTCACCACCTTTAGCTTATTCCTAGCCTAGGACTAACTCTTGCCACATAAATACTAATTGTGTAGACTCCCTTGGCTCCCTTTAAAACAGCAAAAAAGCACACAAACATTTGCTCCCATTTGTTCCTGCTCTTAAGAAATGTTAAAAGTAGATTGGAATGAGCTCCATCAGAGTAGAGACACTGAAAACTTTTGTAAACAAGATAGATGCCAGGTCAGAATTAGAATAGACTCCAACTCAGGGAAGATAGACCTATGTGACAGATGATTCTAGCACCATTTTGCAGTTTTCTTTGGGGTAAATAATGCAAGGAGTTGAGGGGAAAGCCAACTTATAGAGAAAGTATGAGATTTTTGTTCCTCCTCACTGTGTTTGGTAGAAAAAGTCTTTAACTGAAGTAGCATTTACCTTACACCTCAATGTATCTTAAACAAAGATAACATATAGGGAAATAATTGTTGAGCCATAGGATATTAGACTGGAATGTTTCGTAGGCTATTCAACTATCCCCATAAGAAGTCATTGGCAGTTGATACCCCAATTTGTGCTTCCTAGGGGTATCAATGGGAAGAGAAAGGAAAACAAACAAACAAACAAAAACCTTGACCCTTCTGTCTTCAAAAGGAAAGATTATTTCTGTAAGAATAGACTCTCTTTTTTAAAGAAGAGGACCTAAAAGAAGATAAGAAAGGTAGGACTCACCCCAAAACAGTCATTAACTCTACTTGCCCCCTTTTCCACTAAATGTTTTCCCAGGAGATCCATGTAACTGTGAACCTTCTTCTGGATGTGACTGGACAGACAATGGCAGCAGTAGGAATCACAGCTAAGAAAACTGCCTGGGAAAAGTAAAACACAGCAGCATGCTTAAGGGTGAGGTGGGAGGAAAGAGGCTATTTTTATAACTTTCTCCTCAATTAGAAATAGAATTTCTGAGCTCTTATTGCTTCAGAACATGGGGTGGTTTTTGTTTTGTTTTAGAATAAGTGTTATTATTTAATAGTCAGACATAAAAGTGAGAATGTTAAAAAAGAAAACTTTTCTTTATTCTTGCTTCTCAAAGAGTGGTCCATGCATCAGCAGTGGCAGCAGAACCCAGGAACTTGTTAGTGACGCAGCATGTCAGTTCTTACCTAGACCTGCCGAACAGGTAACAGAATCCCCAGGCAATTTGCATGCAAATTAATGTTTGAGAAAAGCTGGTCTAGAGGATTTATAATGACCCAGAGGGGTAGAGGGGTAGATTAATTGCCTCTGAGGCCAGAACTCACGCTGTCTGTGGACAGCGCTACTGCACTGTCCGAGAGGAACATAAAAGTCCCCACAATGTGTTCTTTACCTATGGAGCAATGGCACTATAATAGTTTATCAGATCACCCAGTTAATTACTCTCACTATGTTTGCATGCTCTATATATCAACCACAAAAGAAGGAAGGGAGGAAGGCAGGGAAATTTAGAGAGAGGGAGGGAAAGGAGGAGGGAAAAAGAGAAAAAAGGAAAGAGAGAGAGATCTCACGAGTTTTGTTTATTTTGTTTTAATTTAACCCCATTAAGAAACTTTTTATGTATAGATCCTGTAATTTAACATGCCCCCCTGCACCATGCTATTCCCAGGCCCATAACTTCCCTCCTACTTCCTCCAAAATTATAAAATAATGAACATTGAATAAGCTATGTAAGTGACAAACATAAATATATGAAACTTTGCCTAAGACCTTTGATACTATTTTAAGGAGTATAGATAAAAAAGGAGTCATAAGTGGTCTGCACAGTATTTAGGAACAGGAGATTTGGCTAAAAGCATCCTGGAAACAAGAGTAGATCATCTCAAACACATGTGGAGAAATTTATGCTGGCTCAGAAATTAGGAAGCACAAAAGCTCACAGGAAATTAGTCTACCACACGGGAAACTTTCTCGGATACTCCCTGTCACAGAACAGGTGCATAAAGGGCCAGAGCCTAGGGCAACCTGACCTGAGAAGGTATAATAAAGGGCTGTGGGAGGCATCGGAGATAGGGAAGAAAAATGAACTTATTATCTCAACAAATGAAAGCTTTTTATGGGGCAGGGGATGTTTAGCCAGTTCATTTTCAATCCATAAAGAATCAAGCAAAAGAGTATAAACTTCCCTTAAACTAAGAAAAACTTACATTGGTAATTAAACATGAGTTTCAATAAAGAGACATACATCAGTTACAGGTTGCAGACTTGTCAAAATTCAGACTGTGGACCTTCTTTTGAAACAACTTTATTCTGGTGATATCTGGATAAAATTAACAACAGTCAAAACAAGCAATATTTGGGAGAAGATTGAAAAGAAGGTCTCTCTTGGCAATGTTGAGGACATATTTCTGGACTGATTGCATATAGTCAAGCTTCATATTTTGTATACTCATTCTGCTGTGCTGCCTCCTCTGTCTGAGTCACTGTGTAACAGGGACACTAGAGAAGATCAAAGTCAGCCTGGATCCATTTACTAAGGATGGAAGGCTCTGCTATCAGGGAGTATGTAAAGTTGTGAAAACACTTCTAAGGGATAATAAAGTACCTCTCTTTGTAAAACCTTCGGAAGTGAGCAGACACCACCAGTTCTGAAAAGTTCAAGATTTTGCCTTTTGGGAAATGAAAGACCTTCCAGCTGTCTACTCCATGATTCTAAATGAGACACTCTTCTATGAGCATGTCTACAAAAATATATGATGACACTGCTGGAAAACATTTTCTCTTCACCTTTAAATCCATTATAAAAATGAGTAATTTCTGTTATTGAAAATATTTTTAAAGGCGAAATAGCTCTCAATAGAAAAGATTTAAGTAAGAAAGCCAGGATACTGTCATTCTATAAAAATCAATAAGCTCAGCATAACATTTCAGTCAAGAAAAGTCATTGCTTACAGACAGATGCCTGTAAATCTCACTGAAGCAGCATTGTTTTAAAATTTCCCCAGCCCCAGGAGATTGTATTAAACACAGGAAGACAGAAGCTCTAGAGGCACTGGATTCCTGGCCTGCATTTCTGGTGTGAAGCAGCTAGAATTGGCAATATGTACACTTTTAAAAATTGTCTGAGCTGAACCATTCTTTGCAGACAGAAAAGGGAATTTTAAGAATCTCCTTTCTCAGGGACTTTTAAGAGATTTTGGTTACTGTGGATATTACCAAACCAAGGACATTATGTGGATGATCAAATTTTCTTCTTCTATAAAATCCATTTCACCACATATTTTGCAAGTTTTCTTGCTTGGGATCCAAAAGTGAATGAATTTTAGAGGCAGGTGGAATCATATCTATATAATTAGTGGCAGTAATTAACTTTTGATGCAATGCTACTATTTCTCATTCTAAAAGTGAATTAAGTATGAATTTTCCTCAGAACTTCTTCAGGAAGATACGTATTTGTGACTGTCTTTATTCTCAACAATGCCTCTAATGGTGAGCAAGCTGGTTTAGATGAAACTTCCTTCACTGTCTTTAAGAGACAGAATAAATACACAAGGGCAATTTTAAAATCAAGCTTTTCTGTGCTCTGTTTTAAACTTTCTTGTCACATGTGACCTATTATTCCCATTTAAATGATCTCATTTTTAATTAAGATGTTAATTTCATTAAAAACACTTGTCAAAAAATTCCAATGCTTTACTGTTCAGTAAAAGTCAATTAAATGAGCACCCAGCAAAATATTTTTATTTATGACAGGCTCAGGCACTTATTTTCTGGTGCTTTTTAGCTCTTATAAAACAGATGATCCTGGCTAGATCAAATAAGGACTATGACTTGGGCTTAGACTTTCAGGTTCAAATTAATCAGACATTTGAAAGATGTTCCAACTTCCCTTCAGCCGAGATAGAAAATGATAGCACTCTAAAAGCAGAGCCTGGCAGAACGGAGTTACATAAAATGCCTTTTCAATTTTTGCACTCTATTACCCTTTACTATTATAGGAAAATGGTGTTATCACCTGATTACTGAGAAAGCACACGAAAATCTAGCCTTCCAAATCTGAGCCAGTCCTTGACTGATGATGAACAAAGCAAGGCCATCTGGTCTGAATATCATTACTACTTTGGCCATTTGGGCAAGGGATCTATTTTCTTTGCTCCAAAGAGAGGTTTAAGATTTGAAATAGAAATGAAATAAGTAGACAGGAAGAAACATTGGAACAAATAGTTCATTCGAATGAGAGCCCCCTTTCTTAAGTTACAATCATTACCATCATTTTTATTTTTATTCTGGCCTGAATTAATCTCTGGGGTCCCGATTTTGCAAAACATTTTAGTAAAAACAGAAGAAAAAACTTAATTCTAGAGTTTCTGCGTTTAAACACTTAGGAAAGGAAACGGACGTGTGGGTGAATATGAGTCATCAGTCACCCCCACCCTGCTTCCTGGTGATTCTCCATTGGAAAAGCAGAAACAGGTTGAGCTTACATTTCTATTTTTCTGGAATCACATTATGCCCTAGGCCATGTTAATTTCCTCAACTAAACAGACCCTAATCTGCTGAAAGGCAGCTGGCTAACTGCTGGTGTCTGGCAAGTGCCCCATCTGTCCCCGTGCCTGGGGTCTCTCCCTCCTGCCTTCACTTTCCCTTTCTCGCAAACAGGCGTCTCTCTTTGTTTTCAGGGGTTTGTTCACCTGAACTTTCCTTCCTATGCCTGTCAACTTGAGCTCTTTCCCTCTACCCTGAGGACCTCGGGCTTTGTCTAAGTGGCAAGACACAGTTGTGTGACTATAGTTACCGCGCTGGTGATGGTGGCTATGATGACGGTGATGGTGGAGATGGGGGTGCTGATGTGTAAGGGGGCGCAGGCTGAGCGGGCGCCGGGAGGAGGATGGACCGCGGAGGCGGCGGGGAGCGGGGTGCGGTGCGCGAGGGATGGAGTGCAGAGGGATTGCAGATGGGAGCTGTCCACATACCGAAGTGCTGAAACGCCGCAGCCATGGCATCGCAAGAGCGGGGGAAAGGCGGGGAGGCTCTGCAAATACAGAGGGGAGAAAAAAGGCAACAAATACCTTCACACGGCCGCCCAGCCTTGCTTTGGGAATGTATTTCTGCAGGTGTCCTCGCTGCTGAACTGGGTGGGTGAGATCCCCTATTCTGGCAGGTTCGGGCTTAGATTTCTCTAGAAAGCTGTGAATGAGAGCTCGAGCTCCACACGGGGCTGTGATTTTTGGTAGGAGGCGTGTGCGCCCGATTCTCTGTCCTTCTATAGCGAGCCTAGCTTTCCCCTGGGTCCTAAATGCCTCCGTACCACAACCCTCCCTGGTTCCGTTGAGAAGTACCAATAATTTTTTGTAATTTTGTTAACACCTGGGACAAAAAGTACCGGCGCCATCACTCTCCACACAAAGTTAAAAATAGAATATTTCAAACGGATTAATGAAAGCACAAAAGCAAATGTGTGTGTGTGTGTGTGTGTAAATCTGACAGATAAGAAAGTATCACAAATCTATGGGGAAAAAGGATGAATTATTTTACTAACAAATGGTATTAAGAAAATGAACTATTTGAAGAGACTCAAATCAAAGTCTCATTTCACCAAAATAAATTACACATAGATGTTTTTATCAAAAACGTAAAACTTAAAAATATAACTAGAAGAACAGAAATATTTTACCGATCTCAGGATAGGGAAGGTTTTCTAAGCACAAGAGGAATAGAAGAAATAAAAAAGAAAAAGATCAGTAAGTTTGAGTGCATAAAAACACTCTTGAATGTCAAAATATTAAAAAAGTAAATACAAATTAACACTTTAAAAAACTGCAGCAAGTAGATGTTTCATACACAAAGTACCACATAAAAGAGAAACACTAACAGCCTTTTAGAAAAAAAGGAGGAATGTTAAATGACAAAGAATTTACAGAAGAAATGGGGATGCATAATAAACACATTTTTTAAATATCAACCTCACCAGTAAATGGAAATATGCAGTTTAATATGGCAGTTTGGGCTGAAGTTTTAAATATACATATCTTATATTGTTGGAGTAATAGTGAGATGGCATAACATTTTTACAAATCTATTTCACAATGTACATCCAGTGTCATAAATATACATGGCATTTAGATCCAGTAGTTTCATTTCTAGTACTTTATGCTAGGGATATATTCAGATATGCAAAGATTTATGTGTATAAATTTCATTTATGATCATAAATGTTGTCAAAAAATAAAAAAGCATTAATTTTTCATACAAACTGTAATGTTTAGAGCTATTAAAACATATTTTTGAAAACTGTTTAAGACCAAAAATAATACTTGCAAAGTGTTAAGTGAAGGAAAGCAAGATATCAAATACAGCATTCCCATTTTTCCCCAGTTTTCAAATCAGTTATATCATCATGGGTAAATTTTCTTTTTGCCAAGATAACTTGATTTTCTTACTTGTATTTGTTTAAAGTTTTCACATTTACTAAAAAGTTAGAAAACTTATAAAATATTTTAAAGCAATATTTCTATCATATATTT